CTAAAGGATCATTAGGAGGAAATTTTAACCCGAAAAAGTAAAAATGAAAAAGCAAATAACCTTATATTTGCCAGTGATTTTCTTAAAAACGAAAATATACTAAATAAATGAGAAGCTATCACGCCACAGGCGCATGACAGGTCGTCATCTTCACCTTACCACACATACAAGTAAAACAGATTTATTAGAAGAAAACAAAATTATGTGTACGCTTTCGGTTCGCTTTAATTGCACACTCCTCTAATAGCAATTGCCACCTCTTTACATATAAGAACACGCATGTCAATGAACTACCAGCACATGGCGGCACGAGCGCAGCACATTGAACTCGAAAGCATGTGAGAAGTCGCCAGATGGTTTAGAAGTTGCCACACTAACCGCAGATGTGAAGTACCAACCCATGAAACAGCTGCTGCCAGCAGGTGTGTCAAAGCGCAAACCTCATGCATTTCTTTCCAGTTTTTTTTTTTTCATTTAAACTCGTAGCATACTCTTAGGCGCTTATACGCCGTATTAGCTTCGTTTGGATTTACTGCGCGTACTGCAACACGATTGCAACGCACGAATAAAACTACGCGAAGTCAGCAGAACGCGGCGCAGAAGAAAAAGGAAGTGCATGCGGCGGCACACACACACACATACATAAGTGCGGTTGCAGGGCGGCATGTAAGCGCTGACCAAAACCGCAGCTGTTGAGCAGCGCAAAACAAATCCAAGTCGGCGGAGCAAATTAACTTAGCACATGCCAAAAAAGAAACACAAACACACGCGCAAACACGCTGTTGAGTCAGTGGAGGCCTGACTCGGTATGTGTTAGCGGTTGCAGCGGCGTTTGTGCCGCGCTAAGGTTAACAGTAAAAGACGGAGGGTAAGCAACTGCAGGCTCTCACACGCCAAACCGAAAGGAGTCTGAATATGTACTCAGAAATCGCTAATGCAAAGATATATACATATGTATGTTTGTATGTGTGTATGAGCGCAAATGAAAAAATTGTCAAAGCATTGGAGCTGAAGTGCTTTAATTAAAATTACAAAATCTCAGGCAATGCATAATTAGTATGAAAAGTGCATGGAAGAGAGGCAGAGAGTCGAAAGCGCCTGCGAAATGAAATGTGTAGCGGTATAATATTTGCGGTTTGCCACGCGAGTTGCCTTAAAAAAACTGAAGCCGAACAAGTCGAAACGTTGTAATGCAGAAATGTTAGAAACTTAATTGAGCTATAAGAGCAAACGAAAAAATTGTAAAAATGAAAAAAATAGAAACATAAAAACTACTGCAGCCGCCTCGGGCTTTGACGCAAACTCCTTCGTTCGTTAGCTGAAAAAATAATACTCATATTTCCCATACCACCGCGCAACTTCTCATCTTCGCATTTGTCACTTTTCATTCCCTTGACAAAACTCATTAATTATATAATTTGCACTATTTTCTGCAAGAATAATTTCACTCGCATTAAAGACCCGAGCGCCAAGAAAAATGTAGAAAAATGCTAACCAAAAAGCGTGTAATAGCGGCAGCCCACCTCTAAGCGTTGCCTTTGAATGCAGTGTAAACAGCTATCTAAGAAAAATTCAACAAAATGGAGTAAGTAAACTGTGAGAAATGCGAAAAAGAGTTAAGTAAATAAGCTGCAGAAAGTACGGTGACGAATGGCAGGAGCACAGCGTAAGCAGAAAATTAAAACTTTAATGAGAAAACTACAAACGTAAATTATGAATTCACTTGCCAACTGCAGGCGAAGCGATGTAAAAATCATAACTGTTGCATATTTAACGGCGTATTCGCAAAATATGTAATTTCTGTTAAGTGCAAAGATAAGTTTTTGCAGCATAATTAATGTGGAAAGGCAAACTATTAGGTTATAATATGTAGTTTAAGTGTAAATAATGGCGAATACTGCGAAAATACTTAAAACAACAAGGTATGAAATGAGTTAGTATGTGTAAGTGTGCTTTTAGGCGTAATATAGGAGTGAAGCTGAACTAGAAAACAGCCGATCAGATTCAGTTGAAACAAGCACTCAGTTGTCTTAAATCAGACTCAAGTTAAGTAATATTATATTAGCTGGCTGTCATACTTATCCGTAGCCAGACGGATGGCACTATTTCGTTTCCCGGTATGACCTTGAATTTCGATCTGAAATTTTGCACACGTCCATTACTCCTCAAGGAGCTGCTCATCTGTCAGAACCGCCGATTTTGCGACCCCTATAGCGTATAGCTGTCATACAAATTGAGCAATCGGAATGAAGTTCTTGTATAGAAAAATGTTTAATTTGACCAGTTATCTTCACGATATATGGCATGTATTAATATAATATTTATATAGCTAGAATATTTTGTACTGGTGATTTTTTTTCCTCTCATATAAAAAAGTTCTTCATATAAATTATGTGTAAAAAGCTGTTAGTTTCAATGTCCTAATAGTGTGAGGAAAAGAACAAAAGCTGTCACTACTATGGAAAGCAAAAAGTAGTAATTTCTTAAACTATGACAAAACAGGTTTCCAAATCTATAAAACCACATGCAATCCACATCCATAAATATTTATATAGTTCTTGCTCTAACTCATCAAAGGAAGATAGTAAAACTAGTTTAATAGGTTGTAGTAATATTCATACAAATTTACTGAAAGCAATCAATGCTTTTGAATCCAATCTGCAAGCTGTTAAATGATTTGAAAATTAAGTACACTCAGGAAATACGAGATTTTTCAACTGACAGAAACAAAAAAATTTAATGGCTTGTATGTTCATTGGTGGTCATAAAAGTTGACGCACAAAATGTTTCAGCGACAAAGTTTCAACTAAAGTGCACTTGAAGCACATGCGTATCAAAAAATATGCTTTGATATACTATATACAAATACATACAGATAAAAATGTATTTTTACATTGATATTCCTGAGATAGGAACGGCAATGGAAATGCATTGCCATCAATGTGTTATTACTTTTTCTGCCATTTATGCAACATTGTTTGGACTGCGCATGTTTAAGCAAGACATGAACATAACTGAAGTCGTTTGCTCGCTTGCTTGACGTGTGTGACATTGTGGTACAACGAACACAGAATGTAAGCAATTAGCAGGTCAATTTTTGGTTAACCACGGCCGAATTGGTAGTTGGCAGTGACTATAACAATAACAAAAGCAATGCAACGACAACAAAAGCCATAACAACATAAATGTAGCTTCTGTGCTGTTGTTGGGTCATTAAAAGGCCTACAAGCATTTGTATAGTGGTGGTAGTGGTTGGAAGAGAGCTCATAGTAGATAAATCCCTGCCAATCTCACCATGAACAATGCCTTCGTTATCTTTTGCGCCGGCTCACCCTGATTCGCCCACGACGGTTTTTAATTGATATAGTCCTTAGTGACCTTTTCAATACCTGTAATCACTCTTTTTAGAAATGGATCGATCATGTTGCAATTCAGAGCGATTCACAGATGGAAATTCGGTTCATGAGGTTTTTTTGCTTTAACTCAATGTATTAGGAAAAAAATAGAAAATAGGGTTTCCAGTGCATTTTTGACATCAAATCGTAAAGAAATCGGCGAAACCAAAATTGCCCTTGGCTTGGCTGTTACATTTTCAGTGCACATTTGCAGCCGTTTGGCTTGTATTCTCGTCTTTATCGAAGAAAAACTTATTTTACATGGTGTATAATTTTATCGCTCATGTCGATCTTTGACGTGCGCTCTAACAATACTGAGTCAATCAACCACAAAACAGTCTGAGAATTTTTTTAGTACGAAGTATTATCGTTACGTCATATAGGGTGATACGCTGGACTTATACAACATGAAAAACAGAACACCAAAGCATCTATTAGTTAAACAATGGATTTTTTTACTAGATCTAAGAATTATGAATAACAATCAAATATTAAACTGTGTTTTTAGTGCTAAACATTTTTACAACTTTTTTCACGTAAATGTGTCTAAACGCCATAAAAAATGCTCCCCTCTCTGCGTGCGCTATTCCCTTCACTTAGCACTAACTAATTGACACACATACAGCTTTAGTAGGAAATTTCGAAAGCCTGAAAATATACTCTTAACAGTCGCCACAGTCGCGTGCAAACCGAAAGCTTTCCACTCCAATAAGCGCAATATTCGCTTCATTGTGTTTTTTTTTTCTGTAAACAACTTTCACATGCGTCTGTGTGCCTACGCTCCGCCGGAAATTGGGTTAGCGATGCAAATTGGTCAGCCGACCACGCATACCAATGCACAGCTGCAACGAGCAACATGTATATGAAAGTTTACGAAAAAAATACCAGAAAAATGGAAAAAATATTCACTTGAAAATGCTTTCCAATCGTATTTGTTGCTCTTTTTTCCACCACAATGTTATGGCCGTAGTCTTGAACATTGAAGAGCATGCCTGGTATTGCACATTTCGTTCGCGCACTGCTTTTTTCACTCTCTCTCTTTCTTCCTCTTCCTCTCCCTCTCGCTTACACTTGTGTTGTGTATTTTAACGCACTTCATGAATGCCGCTAAAGCCGCGCTGGACGTCTATAATTCTGTAATTCGATTAATGAAGCGCATCGCAATCAGCACCATTGCTGTCTCAATTTGATTGACTACCGCCAGGGAAGCATTACTAGTGGCAGCCTTGTGGGAGCGAAGTGGCAAGTGTAGCATGCGCAGAGAGGTTTCCGGAAGTTAAGCTTAATGGCTCGTTTGCTACGACAATTGGTCCATGCAGGGTGAACTTCGTGTCCATGTGTGTGTGCATTTCCACAAGCCGTGCTAACTTATTATCGCTTAAAATATGTCCGGTTTTAAAACTTTGTTTTTTAGTTGTGCGTGAAGCGTGATTTTTGGTATTCAATGACAATATTTTTAATTTAGAATGACTGGTTATATTTCAGACTTTCAGCTAATAGATTGCAACTGTTATTTTAAGACTACTAGTTATTAAGCTTAACTAAAAAAAATTAAATAATAATTTTTATAATAAAAGTAATTTTCATACTTTTTTGTACTTTCAGGATGAGAAGAATCAGTTGCTTGTCACGAATGTTTGGCTGAAACTGGTAAGTTCTAATGAAATTGTACTGCCTCAGTAGTAGCTATGGGCTAATGAAAAATAATTTCAATTTAGTTTAATTATTTTCTATTTATAACCAAACTCATAAGTATTTAATTTATATCATTTCCACATTTTCCAACATATTTGAGGCTTAGTTTCATTTTATATTAAAATATGTATATATGTATATTTAATTTTCGCTTATTGTTTTTAAATGCTTTCTTAGAGAGAGCTTAAGGAGCACACCTAGTGTGACGATTTTTGAATTTAAAAGAAAACAACTCCTGCATCAATTGTTGTAAAATTTTAAGCGATATTTTTATATGTACATATATGTATATTTAAAAAACACTGTAAAATTTTTGTAAAATAAAAAAGTATTTTTCAAATTATACGCGATCTCTGCGGGCGCTTAAAAAACATGTTCCACTGCTGCAGTGATTCCGGCCTTCTTCGGAAATATAACCTTTTCAACTAGAAGATATATTTCTTACAATAACCCACGATCGAAAAAAAATTGTATTTTACCCAAAATTTTGATAATTTTTTGGCTGGATTAGATCGAAAACTGGTAGGTCTATGGAAAAAAATTGAGAGTTGCTGGATATTTTCTCTCGTGTAATCACTCAAGCAAATTTGGAAAACGTAGTTTTGAGAAAAACGCGTTTAGAGCTTAACTGATAGCGCTGAGTGAAATACATTTTAGAGGGCGCTAACTAAAAATCTAATTGAAATATCGATATAAAATGTTAATGTTAGTTTTAAATAGTTTGATATTGTGTCAAACATTGTGCCGAAGATTTTTATAAATCCGTTTTCTATAAACATTTTAAGTTAATTTAAAATGTTTGTAATGCTTTACGCTTGCCTCACATTTAAATGCGTAAAAGCTCCCTAGTTCATAGTTCTGTTCGTTCTTATGCAAACAACTAACCAAATTGGCTGCTGACCTAATTCCCGGCCGCCTCTAAGCGCTGCTAAGTAATTTCCAAATACCAACCTCATTCACTTTAAATTACACTTATTTCCACTCCAAATCCCACACGAAAAGTGTGGCCAATTTAATATTTTATTGCGCCACCTACAATTTGGTAAAATGCGTCAGTGTGTGTGTGTGTGCGCAGTTCCAAAGGTATACTTGTATATTTTTACAGCCAGCCGGTTCTATCCTGGTTGTAATGCGTTTATTTGGGAGAAAAACAGCAATTGATTCCAGAGCAAATTAACTGACATTTCGAAAAGCAAAACTGGCACACACACACAGTCACACGCATGCATACACACATTGACGTTTACAGAGAGAGTGGCAGACAAAAAGTAAATAAGCTTCATTTTTTTGGTTTTGGAAAGAGGAAAATGCAAACGAATTTTCTAACCAACTGACAGTATCCTGGATTACGTTGGGATATGTTCGTGTGTGCATGTGTGTTTGTATATGAAGCAGCTGCTTATAAGCTACAGCAAAATTTTTTCAGTGGTTTTTGTTGTTGCTTTTGCATTTTGCTCAATTTTGTTGCGTTGTTGATTTTATTGTTGCACTTTGTGGTTAACGGTACTGCATTAAACTTATCTTGTTTGCATTTTCGTGATAATGGAAAACTCGCATCACATGTCACGCCATGCCTGGGAGGTTACCACCGATATACTTGTATGCACACACACATACATATACATGTACCTATCCACAAACAAATGCAACAAAAGGGATTTTTCCGACACACACACACACATTCGTGCTTTTGTGAGCTCACTCACATTACTTCGTAGAAATATTATTCGATTTCTTGTTGCTTTTGCCACATTTCCCAATTTTGTTTCAGAAAAATATATTTTATGCAGTTAACCACATTCGCCAGCTCTCCGCAAGCCACTTATTGCATTTGCTCATGAACTGTCTATGCGCTTGTGTGCGTGTATGTGTGTGACTAACTTCAGCTTCCGGCCAGAGTTCGGTTATGGATATTTTGCATCTAGTCATGCTTGGAATACACACACATGAACTGCGGATACTTCTATTAGCCATTCAATTGGCAAAATTTCTGCTCTATGAACTTAGCTTTTTCCTTTGTCGGCATTAAGTAAATTAGTTTTATGTTTCGATAATTGAAAAATGTGTAAAAGCAATATTTTTGTTATGCATGCAGTCGCAAACACACACACATACACATGCAGCTGCTTTCTAAAATGAAAGTGCTTAAATGGAGTGTGTTGTAGCTTTTCAATCGGAATCAATTAAGGCATATTTGTTTATGCATTTCAGCGTGTGTGTGGCGTGTGCTATTAGCTGCACAAATATTTTGTTGAACGTTTGAGAAGTTTTTAAGTTATGCTTAGAGGAATTTTTAAAGGTTCTCTTGCAGATTAATTCTACGATTTTTTGGTAAATATTTGCAAATGAAAGAAGAATATTAATTTTTATTTGGTTAAAGCTTCTTTCTGACCACTTTTGTGATTAGTTTCTGCTCGACATTGCATTTAGAAAGAGAAACCAAAAACGAGAACTTGCAATTAAGAAAGCATCTAAAAACACTTCTAAAGATGTTTATTAACTGACCTACGTTAGATCGTAGGAAACTCCTTAAAGTGCATCACCTCATAGTTCGACAAAGCGTTTTGAGCTTACGACAAATTTATTAAGGCGATTAATATCACTCCCATCCACTTCGCTAGGTTCTCCGAAGTTGCTTCTACTGAAACATTTCAATTTCAGTCTGACAAAATCCGGACAATAGAGGGACAAGCGACAAGATGATTCCAACTCGTCTTTCTCCATACAGCTTTGGAAACGAGCGTTCGACAGAACATTTGGCCGCACTGCGTATAAACTTATTGCTTACTGTCCAGTCAGCACACTTACAATTGCTGCGAGATTGGCTTTGGTAAGAGCCACTTGTTCGGAGGGTCTCCAACGGTACACTTTGGGCCAGAAAGAACTCGAAGTCGCACAAGGTCTGATTGTTGATCAGCACCGGCCAAGCTCACTGGAAGTCCATATGACAAGCGCTAGAGTGCAAGAGCACATCAGGCCACTGCCTCGTTTTCAATCAAATGAAATTGGGGTAATATCCCTAGCAAGCTCATCGGATTTGCAGTTTCCTGCGATTCCGCTGTGACCGGGCACCCATACAAATCTATTATGGAAAAAACTTGAAGCTGTTGCTAATTAATTCATGCACTGTTTGACTAGTTTAGAGCGCACAGTCAGTGATCTTAAAGCCAGTATTGCCACTTGGCTATCAGAATGAATACACGCCTCTCTGAAAGAGGCTGCACTTCGGAGCAGTATATCTACCACTACCCTGATGGCAGTCATCTCCACTTGAAAAACGCAACAGTGGTATGGTAGTCTGAAACTAAAGTTGAGACAGCTCCCGACACAAAAACTCCCCCCCAATCCTCCCTTTTAACTTCCATCCATCCGTGAAAATGTTCACTGCACCTCTTCTCCAACGGCTTCCCACCGTCCACCGTCGACCTTTTACTGTTAATACACGGTATTTTAACATGCCCCAACAGTTTTCCCGGTTACTGCTCTAATACTAATCATGGCGGAATGGGATAAAATACACGTTTGCATCCATAAAAAATATTATTAATTATGTAATTGTAATTTTTATTATTTTTTTTTTCATGTTTCGATAATCTATTCTAATTTTTAAAAATACCATATTAAATTCTTAAACGAAGGTTTAAAATAATTTTTGGGTTACAGTATTTTACAATGCAGCTCAACCAGCTAGATGCGTTTATCTTTATACACGTTTTTGTCAATACTTGTGTCATTGAATCACTGCTATAGTAAACAACCTCTATTTTATCGCCGTCGGAGATTCCTTACGAGTATAACCAAAAAATATTCAATTTTGTATGCAAAAATTTAATTTTGTATAAATAAAATATAGGTATATAGATATTTCATGAAGTTGAAAAATAAGAGATACAGTAAGCAGTCGTGATAGTTCAATAATAGCAATAATGGGGATTAGTTGTCACCACAAAAACAACTACTGAAATCAGAAAGAAACACATAAAATTGCTTATTTTATCATACCAAGAAGCGCATTGACTAACTATAGCAAGTCTTTTACACATTCAAGCGTTTATAATATTTGTCTCAATAAATTTTATATTAACTCAAACCTTTTTTTCTTTAATTTTTGTTACACCATTAATTATTTATTTAAATTCACAATTCATTTGCCGCAGTTCATTCACTTCACAGTTATCTTTCGTCATTCATGCATATTAATTATTTTTCATGCTTTTACTTGCTACCCCCGCGCATAGGAGTGGAATGACATGAATCTCCGTTGGAATACATCCGATTATGGCGGCGTTAAAGATTTACGCATACCGCCGCATCGGATATGGAAACCGGATGTGCTGATGTACAACAGCGCTGACGAGGGTTTCGATGGCACATATCAAACGAATGTGGTGGTACGCAATAACGGTTCGTGCTTATATGTGCCGCCGGGTATATTCAAGTCTACATGCAAAATCGACATCACGTGGTTTCCGTTCGATGATCAGCGCTGCGAAATGAAATTCGGCAGTTGGACATACGATGGATTTCAGGTTTGAATCAGTTGTCAAACAATTAAACCCAGTAGCACATAAACACACACAAACTTACACGCATATACACACACATATTAACATAAATAACTGTAAACATATGACATTAAATAGAAGCGAATTATAATGATAAATGAAGTGTGCTATCCGATTGGAACATACAACAATGACTCTCGAAAGCGAAACGCCATTATGCGAACAACCGAAGCACACACATTCTATAACTGTAACTTCAGTGTGGCAAGACCGTCCAGTGTTGTGGAAGAATTTAACGCGTTGAAAATGCGGCCAATTAAAAAGTTGCAGAACTGATGGACGATGACAGCGTGTAGTTTTCAACGATTATCAACCTTTTATAAGAGTTTGCTGATTTTCAGCAAATCGCATTGTTGTGTTTTTTTTTTGTTTTTTGCCTTTTTTTATGAGTTTTCATTTAAGCTATTCAAATTAAAACGTGTATTTATTAATCATACTCCGCACTTTCACAGCTGGACTTGCAATTACAAGATGAAACTGGCGGTGATATCAGCAGTTACGTGCTCAACGGCGAGTGGGAACTATTGGGTGAGTAGCGCCGAAGTGCTAGAAAATTCGTGTAGTTGTTGTTGTCATTGTGTTTGTGTGTAACTAGGTGACGCAAGCATAGTACATGTTGCTGCCGTGTTGGCTCCAAGCGTAGCACATTCATATATATGTGTATTCCATATGTGTACACACGCACACACGCTCATTAACAGAATTTTAGCTGAAGCTTAACTACCGCTAAAGATTTAAAAATAATTAGTAAAATAATTCAATAAGAAATTCATAAAAAAAATAAAATGGTTCAAGCTAAATGCTTTTCTAAACTAAAAATTAAATGTGCTTACCTTTTAAATTACCTACTAACAACAACAATCACATTATTGCGCATAAGCCGACTCTATTCGCATACATGCTATACTCTACCACTCTAAGCTCAAATCTATGTTCACAGTTACTTTCCAAAGCTATACTTCCTTACCACATTTACTATATATCTCTACTATACGTCGCCATAATTCTTGAACTCATGATTCATTTGACAAAAGTTTACAATTAGCTGTACTGCCAAACAAATCGTGAAGTCCACATTTCCCCAAAAATTTTTTCCGAAGTTCAAATGTGACTAAAAAGCAGGAAAATTTTCTCTTCAGCCTTTTGCCATGCAGATTTAATGTATTTTTATACATTCCAATGAATTAGCACCATTTTTTGACTCAAAATTTCATTGCAAGGAATTCTCTTACTATTCTATAGATAACGAATTCAACTACCATCGACATCTTAGTAGGTGACAGTGAAAAATAAAATGAAAATGTAACCAAAACGAGGGAAAAAGCCCACATAATACGCTTTGTATGTAGGTCAAACGAATAGTTTGCCGAGGCGTATGAGTTACCTTAGTTGAAACTCTAGAAGAGTATTTCCGCAATTTGCTTAGTTTAAATTTTCTGCTTTAAAGTAGTTTTTTCCATTGTCAATACTACAGGTTAGGTTAGGATAGATTATATTGAAAGGTAGATCTTAACAGCAATCTCACTTGCACAGCTTACAGTCGGTCCGCTGCGGTTACATTGATAACAAAGACCCTCATAAATCGACGAATCGCTTTTAGCCGATCATAAATTAGTTGAGGCGGCTTTTTCAAAAATGCTAAAAATCCAAACGATTCGTTTGCGAACAATCTATTTAACCAGCAAGTAGAAGCAGTACCACAAGTATTTTGAGTTTGTGGCAGTGTACTTTAAGCAGCAGTAAAACCGCTTGCAGAATTTATTTATAGCAACATTTTTCAATTGCTTTTTGGGCCAAAATATTTCCTTAGCCTTTACTGTTACCAAATTGCTGCAATTCACCAGCAAGCAGCAGTAAATAAATATTTTCGAAAAAATAAAAAATATACATAGGCCAATGTTTTTTGTGCCAGCTAGCCGTTTGTCGAGTTACAGCAAGTAGTTTATGTGCCAACCCTACACAGCACCTGCTTCGTTCCGCTGGTGGCAGCTGCAAACCTAAGCCGGCAAAAATCGCTGCCGTCGACATTCAAAGAATTTATAGAGCATTGGGCTTGCAGATTTTATTGGCATTTACGTAATTCAATGGTGAATACATGCGCGTTTTTTACAACTTTAATTGAATTTATGATATTGTGGCAAGTTGCTGGAATTCCTACAAAAAGTACGAGCAGACTAAATATAACGAAGGCTAGAAAAATAGCAAGGATAGAAGTGTGAATACTGCGTCCACGAAAAAAAATTATGTTTCAAAGCATAATCCTAATATAAAAGTTTCTTGAGCTGCTAAACTATTACCAAAAGCCGTGCTGATTCGTTGAAGGTGTAAAAAATGCAGTTTTCCCGACTCTTAAAGAACATAATTTAATCGCCCCAAAACAAACAAACACAATGCAGCAATACCAAAGTCGTTTGAAGAAACAACAATCAAAACCAATACCGCACAACAGAAAAGTCATCACATTTCTTTCCCAAAAAACTTCATTTCTAAACTGATTCATCGACTTCATCCAAACTGTCAGCTCACTACGCTCAAAAGCAAATTGCTCTTCACTCTAAACTGTAGTTAAATGAAAAATAAAATACAAAACTCACCCACTTTACCCACTCACCAATAAAAAAAAATGTTAAAAAATACAAAAACAAAAAATACTTCAAAGGGCGCTTTAACTATTCAAGTCCGAAATAGCCGCGTAAATGTTTCGCCTTTGTAAAATTTTGATTTTGGCAATAAATGAATGTATTGCAACGAAAATAGGCTGATGTGTATTCTATGTCAATGAATGAATTCGAAATCTGGCAACATAGCAACAGAAATTTGCACCTTTCAATTTGGCAAAGAATACGCATTAGCGCATTTTCCATTTTCAAAAAGAAAAAATCAAAAAAAAAAACTTAAAACTAACTAAACATAATTAAATTCGAGGTAAGCTTTTCCTAAACACCAATTCATCACATTTCTATCTAATACTCATAATTGTAAATACAAATAATTAGCTACTAGACCAATGTGTATGCAAATTTCTAGCATGCGCGTCTTGTGAATGTGAGATAATGAGACATTTATTTACATTTAGTAGAGAAAATTATAAATATATGAATTAAAAAAAAATAAAATTTTTAATGAAATTTTAAATATTACAGCTTTGAAATGTTTTGCAAATAATACCACATATATACTCTATATTCTAGATTATATATAGTAAATATTATTTTCTGTTAATACGATCTTTTAGCTTAAATTTCAAATTCTCATAGAACAAAGTTTTATTTAAATAGCATTTTGCATAACCTTTTAGTAAATTTTTGAAAATTTCTATAAGTTGTAAAATAATTTTTCTATACACTTAGTGAGGTATATTAAGTTTGTCACGAATGCTGTAACACCCAAAAGAAAAAGCCACTACCAAGTATATATATAATTGACCAGCGGGACGAGCTGAGTCGATTTTGCCATTACCGTCTGTCTGTCCGTCCATCTGTATGTACAAACTATTGTAGTACCTCAATTTGAGATATCGATCTGGAATTTTGTACCCGTCCTTTTCACACCAAAAATCTTCTCATTTATCGGAACGGTTGATATTAGATCACAATAATATGTAGCTGACATACAAGCTGAACGATCGGCATAAAGTGTTTATATGTGAAGTTTTTTCGGTTGACGAAATATCTTCACAAAACTTGCAGGCGGATTATCGCCTCAGGCAATGATACTATCTTAAAAACAATTATTCAGATCAGTTCTCTATAGCATATTGCTGCCATACAACTGACCGACGACACTGAAGTTCTTGTATAGAATACTCTTTTATTTGTCAAGGTATCGTCACAGAATTTGGGCAGCTTATTTCCCAAGACACTGTTATCATTCCCAAACATACTGTTTAGATCGTAACAATATAGCTTATAGCTGTCATCCGGCCGCTAACCGGTCAAAATCTGAATACATATCTTTTTATACGCATTTATGCTATAAGAAATGCACCTGTGAAATATAGCTTCGGTGCAGCCTAAATTAACGTCTTTTCATGATGTTTTGAAATTAATTATTTTGTCGGCTTTGATTGCCTTTCAGCTGTTTTCTAATTTTCATATGACAAGCACTTTATCTTATTTTTTATAGACGATGATGTATATGTGTCAGGAACTAATACGGAAAGCATATGCAGGCACATCTATAAAGTTCACTCAACAGAGACAGCTAAAAGACAGTGTCAGTACAAATTAATATAATTGGATAACAAAACGTTCGCCCCCATATAGTGAGAATTTTTCGTGCTGTATGGCTTCGCTCTACATCCATTCAATGGAAACTATGTAGTAATCAGCTGATTGTTATTGACATAGCGAAGAGCTTCGGTTTAAAAAATCTATGAACCAACGAGGCCTAAGTTGCGAGTCTATAACTGAGAATAAGATTTTCCGATTTAAAGTGGGCCTAGAGTTTTCCATACATGTGTTCATAACTTAATGCCCGGCGGCACATATAAGCAAATAAATTTGCTCAATCATATACTAAGCAAAAAAGCACCTCAAAGCTGGTAAATACTTGAAGATAAAAGTGAAAATACATTTGTATGCCTTTGAGCGATAATTAACCAGAGTAAACTTATATATGATATGTGTGATATTCATCAAATACAAACGTCTTTTTTGGTATCCGGCTTAATAGTTATCCCTCAAAAAAAGCTAAAGCTGAAAGCCACTTCTACATATTTCATTATAATTCCTCCATTCTACAAAAAAAAAAAACACAGGCCTAAAAGCCCTTGGCACATTTTATATTGCCATCAAAAGGCACTTTTTTATCAAACGATTTTTCTCTGAATATTTCCAATACGCAATTTAAGGCATTTTAAAAATAAATTTCGAATGCAGCACAAATACATTTTACTAATTTCTCCCATGCCTGTGAGATTCGAACGAATATTTCCAATAACAAAGTGAATCAAACAGTTGCAATTGCATTATGCTTTGCACATACCTGCAAATATTTCAAAAGAAAAGTTTGGATTTTAGTTGAACACAAATGTTTTTTAAACAAAGCAAGACTACCTTGAATAATTTTGTACGAAACGGATATGTACATTAGTTCATCTGCACTGTATGTACATATAACATGTATATAAGCCTTTGAAAACACATGCTCAAACAACACTTTCTAGTTGAACGAGCCTAATGTGCAGCTCTTTTTGCAACGGCAATGGCGACGGCAGTCATGTGAGCCGAAAATTTGCTAGAAACTGAATTTCAACTAACTATAATGCGCAGCTGCGTAGGCTATCGTGTAGGCATTAATTTGCATAGAAAACTTTGCCCAGAAACAAATAAAGTTTTTACTTTTAATACAATATTTATTTGTTTTCATGTTTGTAAGAGTGTAACGAGTTTGGATTCGGGCGTTTTCCTTGACATACATGTTAGAAGATTAAAAAGACGCTAGACGCATATACGCTAATACATAAAGAGAAAAGTATGAGATTTTCTTAATTTATTACCACTCAGCTTGGTTACGTATACGCAGTG